CTGTTTGGAGGGAGCGAAGCCAACAGGTTCCAGAAGCAGCAGGTACCTCTGGTCAGGAAGAGGCGTCCACTTTTGGGGCGCGTCTACTTTTGCAGATCATGATTTACCTCATACCACTCCATCTCATGCCACTCTACCTTCTTCTTCTACCTGTAGACGATGAGATTCACCATCTGATGCATCACTTCCTCTATCCTTCTAAAGGCGTCAGTATTCACCAGTGCCACCTCATACGGATCCAGTGCCACCTCCCACTGATGATTCTGCTGATCTAGTGCCACCTCCGGAGGGTGAGGCTGCTGCAGATGCTGAGGTAGAAGGTTTTGGAGGAGGCCCATATGATTTGTCCTTACTTCTTCTGTATCCAGACCATACTGTTGTTAAGTGCAAATTTTGACTTAAAATGAACCATCTTTCTTGGCACTTTTCAACTTAATTCTCATGTTTTCATATATTTAATCCTTTTTCTTGTGCGATTCTTCAATTATATTGCAAATACCTTTGAATTCTTTGATTTGTGTGTTATTGTGCAGAATATAGGCATACAACATCAATGAGTAAGACACAAAAAATTGGACAAGGAGGCCAAAAAAATGTGAAGATTCTGCAATGTTCATTGGGCGAACAGTAGCGAGCAGCCAACGAATGTTTGTTGGTTGAAGTATCAGCAATGAGGAAACCTTAGAAGTCAGTAGCTAAAGGACCCAAAGTTCGCTGTGCGAACTTGTAGTGAGGTAGTTCCTAGTGCGAAGAATTACTCACACAACGAACTCAGATATTTTCCAAGGGCGGTTTAATTGTTCCTGAGGCACTTCAAGTGCCATAAAAGGGACTTTGCTAGGCGAATAGGTAGTTCGCAGTGCGAACATGACAGATTTTGTAAAAACTATACAAGTACTTTTTCTTGCTTTTTTAGAATATAACTTTTAATGGAATATATTTTACGGATAAAAACTTTATCTCTCTTCAGTTCAAGCATATTCCAGAGATACAAATACATACCCTAAGAGGGAGAAGGTAAGATCTTTGATCACTTATTGGATTTTGGATGTAATCTTTTGATACCTTATGTATTTCATCTAATATATGTTTGTGAACTAGTTTTGATTCTCTATTGATATTGTCTTTGATTTCTTATTTGTGGATCTTGACAAAACCTTTTTCAAATCTTTGATCTAAGATCCAGATCTATCAATGAGCAAACTTTTGACATGGTTTTATGAGTTGATATTCATTTTCATCACATTTATTTTATTGTGTTGATTAAGTAGCATGAGTAGGATCAATACGGTAAAGACCGCGATAATACTTGATAAATGGTATTGCGAGGATGCGTCATAATAGTGATGAAGAATGATATTCACATACATTTGGCATATTAGGTGAATATATGTAAAAAGGGTTAATCATGTGTAAGCATTCTGATCATGGCATTATATATGAATCAAATCATTAATTTGATATGAATGTTATAGTAATATCTGTTGGGTCTACAGTCTAGACATAAATTTTGGTTTAACATTCACTTGAGTGTCAGTTATTAATGCTCTGTGTTGGTTTTGTTGTGTGAGATATCACCGATGAGACAATTTAGTTGGTCTCTCGAATTTGCATTAGACATAACCTTTGTTGTGTGTGATACGTGATGATATTAGACAAAAGTTTGAGTTGTGTATAACATGAGTAGAAGAGTGTATGTGTTATCAATTGATGAGATTCAATCCCAACAAGGCTCCGTTTATATTTCAGTCTTTATTTTATATTTTTCACCCTTATATTTTCTGTTTTATTTATGGTTCCTTGAACTTTTTAACCAAAACTTTTGAACAAAAAACTTAGAAATATAGAGACTGTTGAACAGAGTTCTTTCCCTCGCACTGATCCCTGTGGAGACGATATAAATCTCGGAGGGAATTTCTTCAAAACAATTTTTTTTGCTTCTTGCCGCTTTACTGCAGTTCGAACAACTTCCAAACATATTTGGGACGGAGAAGGTAGCTTTAGTTGGATTTTTTTATTTTCTTTATGCGTTAATTTTAATGGCTGACATTGATTATTTTTGACATTGATTATTACTAACATTTATTATTTTTGGAAAATTTCAAGAGCGTGGTCCCCATAAGTTTCTTAACCATGGAAGGAAGATTGTTAGCTTGCCTCAACCAAATAAGGATTGGTTTCAGACAGTTATGTCCTTATCTGACCTGAAGGACCTATGCATGACCAATTACACTTTGGTCAACCACGAGATGCTTAATACATTCGTGGAGAGATGACACTCTGAAACATATTCGTTTAATCTCCTACATAGTGAAATGTCTATCACTTTGAATGATGTCTCGTGTTTGTTACATCTTCCAATCAAGGGAAGATTCCTCGATCATGGGAGGATGATGAAATACGAGGCAGACAATATGATGGTATAACATCTAGGGGCTGATCCAGAAAAAGCGATGGAGGGGGTGGATAGGACCAGGGGTGCTCATGCTAGATTTGAGTTCCTAAGGAAGATCTATGATAATGAGATCCTTAGGGTACAACTGGCTCATGGTGATGATGAGTGAGTGGCGATACACAGGCCTCGTGCTTTAAGGGCGTACTTTCTTTTTTGGTTGGCAGTTGCATTTTTGTGGACACGAGTGCCACTTATACTGACATTGTGTACCTCCGATACTTCTTGGATCTCACTCAGATCCATGAGTACAACTGGAGGGCGGCTTGCTTGGCCTATCTTTATTCAAAGTTGAGAGAGGGATGTTGGTGGAAGACGAAGCGGGTCACAAGCAGCGAGACACTATTGGTGGTAATATTGCTTGATCCTTGAATGTTTTTTCGTTATTTTCATTTCATATTTGTGAAAGCATTACCGATAATTCTTGATCCGTGAATGTTTATATTTATTTTCATTTCAGGCTTGGATCCTCCAGCACTTCTCGCGCATTGCTGGCTGGGCGAGTGTGGATGAGTACACAGAGGATATATTGTATGCCTGTGCTTTTATCCCGCTCAGAGGAACCAGGTGGTCGAACCTTTTAGAATTTATCTTGACCGTTTGGTTGTCGAGGACATGCATTTCAACAGCTATGTGGATCACCGTCAAACGCAGACATTTGACGAGATAATGTTATACTCTAGATGGTTGGCCTGCAAATTGTGTATCACTGCTCCTCATCTGCCCGAGCGTGTCATGCGGCAATTCGGGTATACCCATACCATCCCCATATACCCTGCTATTTTTACTCCTCCTGCATTGTCTCGTAGACAGATAGACAAGATATTTGTTGATTATGAGAGTCATCTTGTACCGGAGGAGACACGAGCTACCATAACACTGAACGACTGAAGCTACGTCAAGGGGTAAATCACATGATTCTTCAGAGTGTCACATCCGTACATGGTGCAAACTGCTCCAAGAGATCCGCCGAGACCAGCTCATCAGGAGATACTAGAGGAGGAGCAAGCTCAGCTAGATCATACTGATGATGTCTTACCTAGTTGTCGTCACATAACTGAGATTGCGCAGACAGACATTGACGATGGTATATTCCATGATAGGTCTGCTGTCGGGCAAGTCCTGGATGCCATCATGGCGGAGGCACAGAGGGCACTGTTGTACCGGAGACATTGTTGGAGGACGGAGGGATTGATGGCTGAAGACACATAGGATGTAAAGGAGATGTTATCAGACATACACAGTAGTAGTCGGTTATTATTTTGTTGTATTACTATACTCTCTACTTTATTTTTACGGTTTTATTACATTTTGGATCTTGTACATACAACATTTTCTACATATATTGCTATATCATTTTCCGACATATTCAGTATTAGTTTCTTATTATTTTGTATGTCTATTTTTGTTTATTCGAGATCGTACTTCATACTTCATCTAAAAATAAATACACAACTTATAGTAAAAAAACATTTGTTCTGATACACTTCAGAAATGTATCCAGAATATTACCGAAGATCCATTTCCAAAACAATTCAAATATAAATGACTACCGAGTAACATATTTTGAATATTTAAAATTGTTACAAAAATATATTTTTTAAAACATATCACCGTTTATTTAAAAATAAATGCATCCGAAAGTATGCTTTCAAAATCATAAAACATATTAAAAATTCCCTAAATACATTAAAAACATTTAAGGTGCAATAAAAAAATCACAAAATTAAGCTGAGTAGTCTTATCGTACCCGTCCACCGTTCCTCAAAGTAAAACTCAAGCAAATGGGTAAAATAAACCTATCCTTAAAAAATTCCACCCTAATGAAATGAAGAAGTACATCCCACCATAGAAAGTGCAAAGTCGTATGACCATGATTCACTTTACTTTTAATTTTACTTTACTTTTTAGTATTAGCCAATATAAAAAATATAAGAATAGTTATTTTAATAAAGATAATTATAAAGTCCGTTCTTAAAACTCTAGACAAAAAGGTTTAAATGCAAGTGTTCTCTCGTTTTCACTCAAAAATATATAACTTCAGTTGTTTGCACTTGAGTTATTTTCACCGTTTCTAGTATTAAATAAAAAAATATGTCATTTTTAAGTATTTAAATAAATTTTCATTCTCTTGTCAATTTAATCTTCGAACTGATTTAAAGCGCTCATATCTCTAATATTGTAAATCTATCTCACACCGCCATCTCACTGTTTAAATAATAATTCTGATTTTATATGAACAAAAATCCTCATTATTGAGTCAAAGAAAATCATTCCTATATTATGCTCCGGAGCAGAACATACCATATCCCATGGATGGAATATGCGGACATTCAAAACCGATCTCATCAAAAACCTCTTTCATAAAATACACAACGTGACAAATCAAATTAAATAATACATTACTTTATCAATTTTTTAATGAATCTATACTTAAATTACTAACTAGTGTGACATTAATATATACACATAATACATGTATATATAGAGTGTTATAGAGGCATAGCAATTCACATTCATTTCATCATTATCATTATTATATATACCCATGGATAAACAACTATTCACTACTCCGGCATCTGTTCGCCGGAGCTCCGATGAAGTCAGTTTTGCCGATACCGTTTTCGGATTTTGGGAGGAATTCCAAGACTCGTCGGAAAATTCTTCCAACTCCGGCAACCATGAGGCAATCGACGGTAATTCCGAAGACGATGATAGCATTTGTACCGTGGAAAAAGATACAATTTTTTGGGAAGAACAAGATCAACTTCTCAAGGTATTATAAACTTAATTTAATTTAATCTCATTAAATTATACACTAATGACACCATTAAAAATATGACTTAATTTTTTATTTTTTTTGCTGATTTTCTTGTTTACATTTGTGAAGGCAACTTTGTGCAGAAGTAGCTCAAGTGAGGCAAAGATTAGGCAAGCTACAAAGGAGATTATTAAAGAATCAAACATGTCTGAGATGCTATGCTTGTGCCGGCCACCGGTGGTGGAAGTAAAGAGTTGCCGGAGTTGTTTGCTTAGAGAAATTTGTGTCCGATTATCGAATCTCAGTTATAATTCCGCAATTTGCAAATCTAAATGGAGTAGTTCATCAGAGATTCCATCAGGTATATATATAATTATACGAAAATATTGACAAACTTTTCTGTCAAAATTTATTGAATAATTGATTTATTTATTTTTTCCTTTTTTGAACATAGGGGAGCATACATATTTGGAAGTGACTGAAAATTCATCAAATGCTAAAAGAGGTGTAATAAAAGTGATTATAGAATTGAACTTCAGAGGTGAATTTGAGATGGCGCGTGGTAACGAAGAATACAATCAATTAGTGAAGCGATTACCAGAACTATTTGTTGGAAAATCAGAGAGGTTAAGAGTATTGGTTAAGATAATGTGTTCAGCTGCTAAAAAATGTATGAAGGAGAAGAAATTGCATTTGGCTCCATGGAGGAAGCAAAAGTATATGCAAGCTAAGTGGGTTGGGAAGTGTGATAGGTCATTTTTGGAACCGTTGCCTAAAGTGTATGAAACTAGGGTGACAAGACCTAAGGCTTCATTGCTCACTTGTGATTTGATGCTAGAAAACATTGCAAGACGCAATTGTACCGCAGTTGAAGTTATCTGAATGAGTATATGTTTAGTATTATGATGAATTTGTTAAAATTACAATGATTCATTGTAATTTTGATGAATGTGATGTGGTATTGAACATATAATGATATGTTTTTTTGTCTTTTTGTTTTGAAGAAATTTGACCAGAAGTTTTGAAAATTTGTATCTAGTTTTGTCATGATAATAGCTATGTGACTAGGTTCAATTATTGTAAAAAATTTAGTAAGTTAATATATTTGGTGTTGGCGATTTCTTTTGAACATATGAAGGGTACTAATACGGTACTATGATTTCTTCTTGCTGTTCAATTCTTTAAGTTTAAACAAAATGGCTTTAGTTTTTTTGTTTTAAGAAAAACTAAAATGACCAGATGAAAAAATGAAGCAATTTGGAGAAGAGATATTTTAAAAATAAAAGTGTGATGCGATAAAATACACATTTGTCAATGTCATTAATGGACAGTATAAAATTATTTTATATTATTAGTGTATTTTTTTTTCTCTTCAAATATTGAATTGACATTAAACAACATTTAATATTTTATTTTCGATGTGAAATTTTAAGAATAAAATAAAATTTGATGGATAAAGCCTAAGTACTTTTGTTTACTCAAAAAGACCCAATTATCTATTGTTTCAGGATGACAAAGTGTCGTCAATAATGATACGATTTATAGATTATGTATACAAGTGTATTTGTCAATATAACATGAGGTTAAACACATAGAAGTGTGCACTTAGAGTTAAAATCAGTAATTTTATGGGATTCCACCTTAACAAGAGGGGAGTTGAAGCCAACCCAAATAAATTGACGTGATTATCAAGATGGAGACTTTGTCTACAAATGAGAGATTAATGAAATCTAATGGGATACTTAGTTTTCTAACGAGGGGTATTCCGAGAGATTTACATAGCATGCACTAGCATTCTACACACCCTTGAGGAAGAAAGTTCAATTTCAATGAATATCAGAGTGTAAGCAAGCCTTCTCACAGTTGATGTTGTGGACCTATGTGTTTGTAGGTATGAAGTTTGCAACAACTAATTTAGTTTTGATGTCCACAAGGGTCTTAGGATAAGTCTTCATGACTTGTGTCGATCAAGGTTTTTGATTAGGATGATGACAAATGAAGTGGTGGTGATCAATATCAAGTGATAATGTTTGAAGATCAAGGTGTTACTATTAGTTGAGAATTTTAACCAATGAGAGGAACCCAACAAACAAGGGGAGTCTAGAAGAAATGTGCTTTGACTGTATTCTAGGACTTTGAGAGAATTTGGTTGTTAAATAGAACATTTCGACCACGCGTGTTCTATGTCATTGGCAAGATAGATCAAAGAAGCAGTTATTTGGGCGTGCCATGGCATGTTCAAATATGTGATAATTGCTTTTATTTCGTTTATAAGAAGACACGTGGAAAGAGTTTGAGAATGAATTACATGCAGAATTGGACGTGGTGAACCCAAGAAAGAGGAACGTTTAGGGTAGTTATTTCGCACGTGCATATATAGTAGTTCATTAGGTTGAATTAAGGATGTTTCATTATATTACAAAAATCTCACTGAAAAATTCAACGTATCAGCATTAAAAGAAACGAGCGAATGACTGAGAGGATGTAAGAGCACATGAAACACCATATATTACTTTCAATGCAAATTTTCTGGTTTACTCAATTTACACTTCGTTTTGTTTCTTTCATCTTCATTTTCTTTCAAGTCTTTATTTTTTTAAGCTTTCAGTATTGTTATCTTACTTTTATACATCTTGCAATAGTCGAAGTTCTCTACGTAGGTTTTATTCAATGTTCCCCTTCGACCAAGTCGAAGTCCATTATCATGAAAAACACAAAGAAATCAATAATAGAGAGGTTATTAGGCCCTATGTCCTAGGATTCACTAGTTGATCCTGCAAGTAACCCGTATTTTGGAGACCAACGGTTGTTTACTATTTTTCAGGGTGAATAAATTGGCACGTCCAGTGGGACATGTTCTAAGTTTCCTATTTGGTTATAGATTTCTTTGTTTTATTGACATTTGAAAATAGTAGTCTACTCTTAAGAGTTTCTTCTGGGAATTTTGTATGCAATTAAGAAGTTGTAAGACTTTATCTAGTATGTCTCGTTCTCTTATAGATAACATTAATTCCCGGAATAACCTTTAAGATATAGTGCAACAGTCGGTTGTATCGGTAATTGAGGAGCTAGTTCTTTCGAGCTAGTTAGAACAACAGCTCCAACGGTATCAGCGGCATCGATCACAACGATGCTGCCCCAAGGGACTATACCCCCAACCGCAATCAGGAAATACCCTTAATAGTTCTGTGCTTGTGATACCTTTGTTTGGATTCTCAATGCCATCACCTGGCAGAGATTGTCCATATGGTATGCCAACTTCTATGATGACTAACCTTCAACCCAATATGTCAACCTTTAGTGACAATGTGATAGCCACATCGCCATTATACAATCCTTACAATGCCTCGACGTCAATCATCAATAATATGGCACGACCAGGAGGGATAAGTTACATCCCTCAAAATACGCCGTCTTTGAATATGACTTCTATGATGGCTATGAGACAGTAGATGGATGAGAGCAATTTGGAATTAGTGAATAATCTTACCCAACAAGTGGGAACTATTTTTAACCTGTTGATAGCCAATACAAACCAAACTTATGAAGTATTAACAAATCAAATTGGGTGCATAGCTGATTTCTTTGGCACACCCCAAATGCTAGTTCGACCGACTCCGGAGATATCTAATGTTAGGATGTTCAAAACCCCTGAGAATGTGACAATACAATCTATTGTGGCCCAAAATCAAGGGTTGCAATAGGAAAATGCCTTGAATATGGAGCAGATAAAACAAAGCAACCCCAGACCTCTGGTAGTTCGGAGAAATCAAGATGCTGATCAAATTCTCAGACAGGTCCAACAAAACAACTTTGTAGGACAAAACGACATAACAAATGTAGTCAAACAAATTCTGGCTCAAATGGCCTTAATGTGGGACTCCACTAACCAAATTCTATCACCCTGTTGTCAGAATACATGCGACAGTCGGAACTACCTAAAGGATTAAAGGTCCCAAAGTTCACTAAGTTCATTAGAGACACAAATGAGTCGATAGTCGAACATGTTACCTGGTATCAAACTGAGGCTGGCGACATAGCAAATAACGAGAACCTGAAATTGAAGTACTTCTCAAGTTCTTTAACAAAGAACGCCTTTACTTAGTTTACGACTCTCCCTCCCCAATTTGTCCAATCATGGAGCCAGTTAGAAAGGCTATTCCATGAGCAGTTCTATATGGGGCAATAAAAAATTAGTTTTAAGGAGTTGGCAAGTGTTATGTGAAAGGTCCTTGAGTCAATAGAATATTTTCTGAATAGGTTCAGACTTATCAAATTCAGATGTTTCACACAAGTACCCGAGCATGAGTTAGTCAAAATGGCCGCAAGTGGCCTTGATTATTCAATTAGGAAAAAGTTAGATACCTAGTACTTGAGGGACATGTTACAACTCGCAAATAGGGTTCGTCGGGTCGAATGCCTAAAAGCTAAGAAAGCCAAAACTAGTAAATACCACAAAAAGGAGAAAGTCGCTTACAAGACGTAGGCGAGTATGTCTCTGATGTTGGTGAGGAGTGTTCAAAAGAAGGTGAGGTCAATGTGGCTGAATTGAAGCCATGCTCCTCGTATGTTTGTAAACTATTAAAACCATCTAATGGAAAAAATCCTATCGAAACTAACAAAAATGAGAAGTTCGCTACTAGAACTTACTCTTTTGACATTACGAAATGTGATGAAATTTTTGATCTGTTAGTTAAAGATGGTCAAATTTTAGTACCTCTTGGTTTAAAAACTCCTCCTTTGGAATAAAGGAAGAAGAGAGGTTTTTACAAATATCATAATTTCTTGAGTCATAAGACTTCTCAATGCATTCTTTTTAAGAACTCGGTTCAAAAGGGTTTGAATGATGGAAGATTGCAATTTGGAAAGAAGCCGGAATCAACGATGAAAGTGGACTTGGAACCTATGCAGATGGAGGAAGCCCATTATGCTGAACCTATAGAGATCTTGACGGTGGATGATATTGATGGCTCCAACATGGATGTCGACAAGGGAGAACAGATTTTTGCTATTGCTGACTCTGACTACCAAGATGTTTACCCTCAATCTAAAGAGAGGTTAATTAATTTTTGGGGCGTTGCAAGCTCAACGAATCTAAGACTATGTTGTTCCCACGTTGTAGTATTGTGTTTGATGAAAAAGATGCAAAGAAAATGGAGATCTCTCGACGCACTAATCCTGGTCGCGCCCAAGGTGGAGTCAAAACAACTAGGTTTGTCGCTAGCAATTGAGGTGTATCCCATAGGAAAGAGGACTACAAGAGGCAGTTCCAACAGCCTCGATAAAAAACCTTCAAGCCACCTGCAAGTGCACCAAAAGATAAGTTAGTGAAGTCTGTCAACCAAAAGGAGGCAAGCCACACAAAGTGGAAAGAGGTCGATCCCAAATCTAGAATGACAGAAGATAATACTCTGAAGGAGGCGAAGCGAAAGACACATGTGCCTTCAACCTACAAAGGGAAGAATCATATGACGCGCATGTAGTGGAGGCACTATCAAAGGAAGAAAAAGGTTGAAAGGGAATCTCTAGCAAATAAGCATGGTGCACCAGCGACGAAGCGTAATGCGATTGCAGCGAAGCCTAATCTTAAACCTAACTCCAAAAAGGTTAACAAAGGGGAGAAATCACACTTCGTTCCAAAAATGACACAAGATCCCCCCGTCATCAAATGGGGACTTAGAGTTAAGGAGAAAACCCCTGAGTACTTTCCTCAGTCAGAGGATGAGGCTCAGATTACACTTCTCAACCAGAAGAAAAGAACCCTTATCACCACGATCCTAAATATTCTGTTGAGAAGGAGGGTGCCTATGTGCCCTTTCAACCCCCTTGACTAAGGAACAAGGAGCCTGAGTAGACCCCTGGGTCAGATGATGAGACGGTAG